GTAGACGCCGCTCAGATGTGATTTGCTTGTAGAACTCATGCCTGTCATTCATCCCAAGAATTTTAATCAGTTGTTTTGCTCAACACTAATTTACAGTGTCTCTCTATTCCTTTCATCTTCCTGTGCAGCATTCTCTTCAAGAAAAAGAAAGCGCATTAGTTGGGGCCAGTGCGACAGACCCCAAGTTACCCTGAGAATCTCACTCCTGTCTGCCCGCCCAGGCCCTCAGCTTTTACCGCTTTCCTCTGATGTGTGTGTGTGTGTGGGGTGGGGGTGTGTGTGTCAGTAGACCCCCCCATGCCTTCTCCACAGGGGGTTTCCACACTGCCTGTGCATTCCAGCACTGGGTTACCTAAATTCTGCTCACCCTTCAAGGCTCAGCTTACACGGGGCTTCCTCACAGAGGGCGGCTCCAGCCTGTCCCCTCCCCATGAGGCTAATACTCTCATTAAGTGCGCCCAGAAAATCCTGCGTTTTCTCTCATGGCATTTATCACAAGTTATAATTACACTGTAATTCTTTGTTTTTTGTCTTCCTCAATCAAGTTCTACAAGGAACATACCTGTTTAGTTTTCTGCCTTGCTCAGTAGCTGAGAGACAGCCGGTGGGTACACACCAAATATTCGCCGAATGAATGGCGGGCGGGACTCATATCGACGCTCAGGCTCCAAAAAATGTAATTAATTGATTTGTTTGTATAAGAGGTGGGGTGGGGGAGGAGGAGAGGCTGGGAGAGACAGAGTGGGGTGGAGAACAGGCAGATTGACTGAAATACACTGGGGGGGCAGGTGGCAGGGGCTGGCATCGGTGAGACAGGAGGGGTCTGCTGTGCTGTTGGGTCCCTGGGGGAAGGGGGGGGGCTGGAACTCGTGCTGCGGTGGCTGCGGATAACTTGGTCTTGGTCGTGCTGGCCTAACCCCTTATGCCACCAGGGAGGGCCCAGGAGCAAAACATTTTATGAATCCACGCCAAAATCTTTTCAGGATTCACTGAAGGATTTCAGACTACCATAATTTTTAAAACCTCATTTTTTCCACATGAAAAACATTTTTTGGGGGGTAAAATTTAGTTAATTGCATTATAGGGATCTCAAATATTTATAATGCAAACAAATACTTTTGTTCTATTTCCCAGTCTTACTCTCCAGGTTAGTAACTTATATTAAGCAGATTTGATCTTTTAAATCTGCCTTTAAAAGAAGTCCTTTCGTAATACTTGACAATCAATGCATTTCTCCTTTCGATGTGTTTCCTGCTGTCAATAATTTTGATAATATTTCCATTTGTGCCTCGCAGATTCCCATTAGTGGTCTCTTTCACTCTCTCTAGTATTTTGGACTAGAAACCTTGACGTGTTAAAAATGGCAGTTTCGAATTTCTTATCTATGCCCTTCCTCTTTTATAAATTCAAAAAAATAGAAAAAATTCTAAAAACAGGAAAGCTGAAAGTTTTCTTTTTTTCTTTAATTGAGATTAACTCCCAAACTATAAAATTTATCTTCAAAAAAGCATTTCTTTGTGAAGATAGAGAGAAAAGTGACCTTAATGGTTCCTACAGCTTTATTAAATAAATGGTCTCTTGCCCTCCCTCAGGGCTGGCCTGGGTTCCAAGGCCAAGGTCAGGGGTGAGGATGGCAGTCCATAGGGCCTCCCCAGTGGTGCAGGGGTCAAGCACAGCACGATGAAGCTACCGCAGCCACTGTAGCACGAGCTTGACCCCAGGCCAGAGAGGTGCCCACAGGGCACAGCAGACTCCTCCTGTCTCGCCGCTGCCCCCCTCAGCAGTGCATTTCAGTGGCTCTGCCTGTTCTGCTCCCCACTCTGCCTCTGGTGAGTCTTCTCACCAGCAAGAGCACGCCCCCCACATCTGGGCCTGTACCCCAGATCTTGTATAAATAAATCTTACTACCCCCCCACACAAGATATAGATTAGCAAATCAGAAAGTAGTAAGCTCATTGTTTTCCCTCGCATACAAATTTGTTATCCCTTATTCACATCAAGTGATCTTTTAGTTAGTATTATAGGCAGAATTACATACAGATATACTTCTTATATACTGTGGAGTTTATTTTACCCTGAGTCAGTGTTCAGAGCCTCTTCTAGGCACTGTTACCTTGGCAGATCCTTTGTTTAACACATATATCTGTATATATGTGTGTATATGTTTATATATATGCAATATATAAATATATTCACATCCCAATTAAATACCACATTTTATGGTAAAATTCCATGGAACTTTGTGTAATTTTTAAATTATTATTTAAAGAATATGTAATGCTTAATGAATGTTTAGTTATCATTTCTCAAATTATCATACATCTTGTGAATTTATATAGAATGAAATCTAACCTTCAAATACCTTTCCAATGTAATAAGCTTTCTTTAGAATATTAATTGTTAATGAATAACTTCACATTACATGTGTAAAGACTTAAAATTTTACTCATTTATTTAAAAAATTTGTGCATAAACATAACTTTGTTTTAAATTTAGTTTTTTTTAAGTAAATGCATTCACATGATAAGCAAATCAATCAACCAGTAAAGTATAAGTATAAAAACAATGTCCTTTTTTCCTATCAGCTGGTCCTATTTTCTAGAGTCTAGAAGCAACCTCCACTGACAATGTCTTATGTGATCTTTCAGAAACCTTGCATTTGTACCCCTGCATGATAAACACCTAAAAATACATAAATGGTATTACATTTTATATACCGTGCTCTTCTCACTTTGTAATTACCTGGGAGAATTGTTTCAGGCCTATAAATTTATTTTACTGTTTTTAAATGTTGCATAATATTGTGCAAGATGGATTATAATGTATAGAGCTTGTGCCATATAAGCATAACTTTTTTTTTATAACAGTTTATTTTTACATCATTTTGTACATTTTTTTTCCCATCTCGATTGTAATCCCTGCGGGTTTCCCATCACCAAGTCACCTGTGTGCCATCACCATAATCCTGTGCACTTCCCTCCCCAACCCCCCATCCCGTTTTTGATCCCATTCCCCACTCCACCCCCACAGCATAACTTTTCTTTTAATGATAATTTTGCTTTCTTTTTTTTAAGGATTGATTTTTTACTTATGCATACAGAACTGGGGTCCAGGCCAGAGATGCAGATGTGGTGAACTGATTTACCAGAGACAGAGTGGGGAGCAGAACAGACAGATCTAATGAAATGTGCTGCTGCTGAGGGTAACAGCTGCCTCAGCGGCTGAGACAGGAGAGGTCTGCTGCCCCAAGTGGGTCAGCTTCCTGGCTGGGGATGGAACTCTTGCTACAGTGGCTTTAGGTAGCCTCATAATGCTGTGCTTAACTGTACCACCAGGGAGGCCCATAAACATAACTTTGTAAAATATTTAAGCTGTTTTGGAGGGGTGATATTGTGGTGACATTTCCTGTCTTGTATTAGAACTGTGTTACTAATGTTACACTCCCCAGGCAAATGAATCTCTTAATTAAAAACAAAAAGAAATGAAACCATCCCTGAGGGTGTGATTTGCCACAATAAATTCAACAGGGAACTCATAATCACTAAATACAAAAAGTGGTTTCTGAATTCACCCATTGGGGAAAAGATGATGGCCCCTAATTGCATTTGCAGTAGAAACTAAAATTAAATTATCTGAAGGTAATAGCAAGTGCAGATCATTTGTTTTAGAGGAATTTGCCAAAAACTGGTGGAAATGGGACAGAACCTTTATGGAGTGGCAAAGCTGAGCAGAGGCTTAGTGCCGAGCTGGAAAAGTGCAGCCAATGGATGTGAACTCTGCCTCCTTACACCCTTACGCGTTTCCATTCTTCTTCTTTAATATTTATTTATGCACACAAGATTTGGGTTTAGGCCAGAGATGCAGGGGGTGAGAGGAGTCACCAGAGACAGAGTGGGGAGCAGAACAGGCAGATGGACTGAAATACACTGCTGATGTAACAGGGTGGTCCTTAGGAAAAAGGGAAATTCCAGGTTCCCTGCCCCACCCAGGGGAAGGAGGGTGGAGCTGAGCAGAGAAAAAGGAGAAGAGAGAAGAAGAGAAGGAAGCGGGATGGAGAAAAAGACGGAGACCTAAGGAAGCCACACGGAGCAGCGAGCATGTGATGAAGAAACCGGGCTTGTTTCCTGACCCTGGGCTGGTTAAGGCAGATGTGGGTGAGATACCTGCAGGGAGCTGACTATGGCAGTGTTTATATTGATTTTGATTTTGTTCTCCTCCCAGACTTGCCTGGCCATTTCTGACCCTTTTCCATGGGTCCCGGCCAGAAGGTGCTTTAGTCTAGTGTCAGCTTTCAGGCCTTGCTTTGGGCCAGTCCCTTTTGGGTTGACTTTTGCCCACGAGGAGATGGGTAACTTCAGGTGTTTGATTTAGAAGTTATATTCTTTGTGTTCTGTATTGTATATTTACTGTATTAAAGTCACTTTTCATTAAAGCTTTATATGTTTTGTCTTGTCGGATGGCAGAACCCACTTAGAGCAGGCAGGTTTTGGGGCTTCAGGGGTGTCCCTCTCCCCTTGTCCTGTAACAGAATTGGGGTGCCCTATAACACTGAGGGGAGCAGTGGGGAGACAGGCGAGGTCTGCTGCACCATGTGGGTCAGCTCCCTGGCCAGGGATTGAACTCAGGCCCTAGTGTCTGGCAATAGCTTGATAGTGCAGCGATGTAACTAACCCCTGTGCCTCCAGGGAGGCCCCCCTGTTTCAGTCCTTAAAGAAGATCTGGTTAATAGTGGACAGGTAACATTGCCTAAAAGAATGTCTTCACTGTTTATTTTCCTTTGTCAACAGTGAACGGAGCTTAAGGATCTAGGTTCAACCTTGCCCTTAAGAGATCAGTGTGATCAGTTATTGGGAAGGGAAGGAGGACACTTGTTTATAAATTCCTCACATTTCATCTATAAACAAAATCTAGTTTGTGTCAAGCTGATTCTTCTGGAAAATGTATGGGTGTGGGGAAATGCATCATGTCCCAAATCCTCACGTTATCTTTTGTCTCGGCAGCCGACTTACGAATGTCGACTGAGGAAGACCCGGAAACTGGGAGCCATGTGAGCCATGGCTGATGTGGTGCAGACGACACCAAAAGCCCCTGGAGAGGCGGAGTCAGGCTGAGGGGGTGCCTTCCAGAGTCCACTGTGACACATTTCCCCCGGGTGAGTGGGGACACTAATTAGAGAGGAGTCAGAGCTTCTGTCCAGTCTCAGCTCTGTAAACTGCACTTTGGCGGGGTAGCGGATATGGCGGTGCTGCCCCAAGCAAGCGGGAGCTGCTCTATGCTGAGGTGGTTCATGTTGGCCCCTGCAGAGTTCTGGAGGATGGAAAGCTCCCAAGCGACCTGCCCTCTGAAGGCCAAATTCTTGAGTAAAAGAACAGAAGTGCTGTGTCCTGGGGCTTGAAGCCAGATGACATAAGGTTCATTAAATGCTAGACATGTCTTTCAAATAATAAATCCTGAAATCATATCTGCCTCATTGTGGGTCCCTCAGGGCTTCCCCACATGGGTGTATGATTGAGGAAGGGAGTGGAGAGAACAAAACATAATAGCTGAGAAAATAATGGTTAGGTTGATGAACAGAAATGCCTTCAGGCAGCATTCCTGAATTTGACCATTACCCTTTTCCTGGGTGGTTCTGGAAGTAATGTCCATCTTTGTTTAGTGTAAGCAGAAGCTTTTTCCTGGTAGGTCCCTGGAGAAGGTGGTTCCAGGTCAGCAGAGACACCTTTTGGACAAAGCATTGACTCTTATGACACTTCTCAAGTCACACGTCACGTTCACAGTATTTTTTTGTTTTTTTTTTTTAAGATTTATTTATTTATGCATACAGAACTGGGGTACAGGCAAGAGGTGCAGGGGCGGTGAGGGGATTCACCAGAGACAGAGTGAGGAACAGAACAGGCCAACTGATGAAGCACACTGCTGAGGGGAGCAGCAGGCGGGTCAGGAGAGGTCTGCCGCACCATGTGGGTCACCTCCAGGACTGGGGATCAAACTCGTGCTGAAGTGGCTTTAGCTTCTTAGTGCTGCGCTTCAAGCCGCTGAGCCATCAGGGAGGCCCCCACAACACAGCGTCTCTTCTAACGCCTAGAACCTCTCTGCTGAGGCTGAGCCATGCTCTCTGGCTACTCCATTGTGGTGAGGCTGGTTGATGGTCAGATGAGGAAGGAGAGTCACTTTTCTTTTTTTTTTTTTAATGATTTATTTATTTATACATACAAAACTGGGGTACAGGCCAGAGGTGCGAAGGTGAGAGGGTTCACCAGAGACAGAATGGGGAGCAGAACAGGCACATAAGCAGATGTACTGAAATACACTGCTGAGGGGAGCAACGGGCAGGTCAGGAGAAGTCTGCTGCGCCATGTGGGTCAGCTCCCGGGCCGGGGATCGAATTTGGATGGCAGTGGCTGTGATAGCTCCATAGTGCTGTGTTTTAAACGGTTGTGCCATCAGAGAGGGCCTGAGAGTCACCTTTCAAGTCACATCTTTTGAATTTTGTTTCAAGTCAGTGTATCGTTTTGTTAAATAAATAAATAAAACCTAAGTTGTTTTTCTGAAGACTTGATTAAGGCTGAGAAAAGGAATTTAAGATTTTGTTCTCTGGTCAACATAGCCTCCTGGATTGACTTCATCTCATCCCCTACTTGTTTGTTGGATTTGGGACTTCAGAGGCCATTTTAGCCTCGGGACCTCTCCCTGCAACCACAACCACAACCACAGACCAAATTAGCTCTGGTGACTTAACGGGACAGCTTGCGTGGCCACCTCATTTTCTTCCACCCCAATGTTTATTTTCCATGGGCAAACAAGACATATTGGTAAAAGGAGACCATGGACCTCAAGCTGGATGTCAGAATTAGAGAACTGCCAGCTACGTGAGCTTTCACAGGGCTCATAGGAAGCTCTGGGATTTGGTGGCCTCCTGGGGGCCCTGGGACTCACTAGAGCAGGGGTTAAGAGTGTGGGTTCAGCTCCAGGTTCTGTCGCTTGCTTGCTAAGCCCTGAACAAGCACTGCTTGGCCTGGCTCTGTACCTCAGTTTCTATGGGGTTGGGGGGAGGACGGGTAATTCCTCCTTCCAGGGGAGTTGGGAAGTGAGAGGAGAGGTGTGAGCTGCCTGTGTCGGGACACACAGGCTCTAGAGCCCTCTTAGAGTTTTTCTTTCTCTTTTCTTCTTCCCATTTTCCTTTGGTTTTAACTTTGTAAAATGGGAATGCAGGGCCTTCCCTGGTGGCTCGGCTGGTTAAGGCAAAGAAAGCACTGTGAAGTTGTCCGCAGCCACTGCAGCACGAGTTCCACCCCTGACCAGGGAGCTGACCCACAGGGCACAGCAGACCTCTCCCGTCTTGCCCGCTGCTCCCCTCAGCAGTGTGTTTCAGTCGAGCTCCCTGTTCTGCTCCCCACTCTGTCTCTGGTGAATCCTTTCACCCCTGCACCTCTGGCCTGTACCCCAGCTCTTGTATGCATAAATAAATCAATCTTTTAAAAAAAAAAAAAAGTGAATGCAAACTTTGTAAGACCTGCCTGCTAAGCAGATCCCCTTCCTCTCAAAGTGCTTTATAAACTGTAAAGCAGAAAACAGTCTGTGGTTGTTTTGGTACCAGGAGGACGGGGGACCCCAAGCTGCGAATTTCTCTGACCTCCTAATTGTGCTTGAATTCCAGAGGAGAGCTCTGTTTTGTTAGGTGGAAATTAGGTCAGCCTTTCCAGGAGCTCAGCCCAGGAAACAAGGGGAGCTGAAGGCACCCCTCTGAAAGACCCCCGCGGAGCCACCTGGGGACCCGGGATGGCTATTGTTTCTAGGAACTGCCTGGATTTTTCACTCCCTTCAGGAGAGAAGCTGCTCCAGCTTTTGCAATACTTGATTGAAAACCTATTCACACTTAAACGGAAGCCAAACGAGGAGGCTGCCCCCCCCACCTCCTGCCGGGCTGCTGGGCCAGTTATAATAACAATAATAATAATGATAAACGACCGCACCCGCTGTTCACTATGCCTGCTATGTGCTGGGGTTAGATCAGAATTCCTTCAACCCAGTACTTAATTTGGTTTTTAAAACTTTTATTGCATTTCCATATTCTCTGAAGTTCGGCTCCTACAGGCATATCTAGGTTTAATATGAAAACTCTTAGCTAGACACATGCAGAGAAGACAAAAAATGAAAAACTAGTCACGTCAGTCATTTTATCTAAAGGGATGTGGACGTTTAGAAGGGCTCATTAAGACGCTGGGCTCTGCCATGTGGTGAATTAATAATCGTTGGTGAAGAAGCAACTCTCTGGGCTTCCGTCTCCCTGTCTTAAGTTGAGGAGAATTGACGAAATGTGTATGTTATGATATTATAGTCAATACATAATAGTACTTCCTAGCGCTAACTTTCCTAGGTCAGATGCTTACCAATGCAAAGTCTTTGCCATCAACCCTCTTCTGTGGACAGGGGGGAGGAGAGAAAGGGCCCCGATTATTTTATTTATTTTTGTAAAGATTTATTTATTTACACATATAGAACTGGGGTACAAGCCCAGTGGTACAGGGGCAGTGAGAGGGTTCACCGGAAGCAGAGCGGGGAGCAGAACAGGCAGATGGATGAAGCACACTGCTGAGGGGAGCAGCAGGCGGGACAGGAGAGGCCTGGTGTTCCCTGTGGGTCAGCTCCCTGGCCGGGGATCGGACTGGTGCTGAAGCAGCTGTGGCTGCCACTAGCTTCGCAGTGCTGCTCTTTAACCTGTTGCACCACAGGGAGGGCCCAGGGCCTGAGTTTTTATAAAGCAACAAGCAGGTGCCAGCATTGTGTGAGGGCCCTTTGGCGCGTGCGCGTGCACTCTGGCTCCCAGAACAGCGACGCTGTGAGCCTGCGGCGTGAGCGCCACCCTGGCAAACCCACATCCAAGCCAGCTGTCATGAGGTTCTCTTGCTTATGTCTTACCAAGAGAACAAGAACATAATAGGGATGATAGATAGGGATGGGGGAGGGAAGGATAAATGTCATTTTACATTCGGGATGCAGAATCTGAAAGACGTTACTACCATACTATCCTGGACACTGGAAAAAAGGTAATCACAGTTAACCTACCAAACATGTTTTACTTGGGGGTCATTGAGAGTACATACTCTTTCTTGGAAATCAGCTTTAATGTAGGTGTATCACAGATGAGCTGTTTCACACTTTCTGATTTCCTCCTTACCTAAAACAGTTACCCATGTAGCTCACTAAATTATTTTCATTGCAAACGAGTCAAACGCTGTAGAGCCAAAACTCAGGGCTGTTCCTTCTGTTCCTGCCAGCTCCCAGCCCCTGGCCTAATGCTCCCACCTGCCCATCCTCCGCAGAAAGAAGCCACCGTCATTTCCATTTTGATGTGGATTCCAGGCCTGTTCAAATCCGTACTCTCCTTCAGTTGCTGCCTTCAGGGGAAAAAGACTGGAAAGAGTGAGGGGAAAGTGGGATTCACTGACCTGCAAACACTTTAAGCAGGTCACTTTTCAAAACATGAATGCTGCCCAAGGCAGGGCGTCTGGCCGTCTCCACACAGTAAATATGCTGCTGAGTGACTGGGTCGGGCCGCCTGCCCAGAGCAGCCACATCCAGGAAGCCTGACAAATCAGTAGCATCCGTGACTTCTTCATTCTTATTCTTTATGACTAATCAGTCTCCCTATACCCTGATAACGGCCGGGAGGAGGCATTTCTCGCACATGGAGTAACAGAGACACACCTTCTCTCCTCTCCCCTTTCGAAAGGACAGTGTCAAGGACACATCCAGGCCAGGTCAGTAAATGTTACATCAGAGATACTGCTGCTATATTTACCCCCACTCATCTTTCAAGCAGAGCAATTTATATGATGAAAAATAGCAGAGACAAACTGTCCTGGTATCTTCAGGGAAGAAAAACAGTGACTTTTAAAGCTGCCTATGATTTTACATTGCAGTCATTTTCTCTGGTGGTTATATTTTCCCTTTCTTCTTTCATTTTACTTTTTAAAATTCTCAGTGAGGATAGAGCTAAAGAGACTTATTACATCAGCCCAGGCCCAGAGACCTGCAGTTGCTATTCAGGGTTTAATCCATTCCAGGCTGTCACCATAGGTTTGAGTCAAGAGAGACTAAACAGAGAGAATGACAAGCAGTCATAGCTGGATTTGATTTGGTCTGGAAGTTTCCATATAAGCCTCTCCCACCCACCCCTACATTTACCCACTGACCCCCACTGGCCAATTATTTTTATTTTCCAGACCTCAGTTTCCTGCTCAGCAAAATAAGAAAAAACCCGTCTGTTTCCCTCGGAGAGGTATTTGTAAAGAGAATAAATGTGAGTGAGGCCTCCAGAGTCTAGGAAGGTCACACAGCTTGGATTCAGTTCAACAGCCACTGCTTGAGTCTGTGTGAGGTTCCAGCAGAATATCACACTGTACCTGCCTCTAAGGAGTCAACAATCTGATAACTGGGGGGAAGAAATTTACAAAGAACTTAAACTCCAGGCAGCAAATGATAAGAACCCCAAGTTTCAGAAGATGGAATGTTGAATGAAGAGAGGATCAGTGGGAAAAAAAAAGAGAGAGAGAGCAGATCAGTAGGAGCTTCTACATGGAAGAGCACATTTGAAATAGGAGGGAACAGGGGGACACTCCAGAGGGAGAATAAAGATAAAGGTGTGGAGGGACCCAAGCCCAGGGCATGTTCAGGGTACATGTGAGGGAGCAGTGGGCAGAAGTGGGCCCCCTACCTCCTGCTCCTAGGGAGGGGAAGGCCGAGGAGTAGGTGTTTAGGTTACCCAGAGGATGGGGGATGGGAGAGGGTGTGAGGGAGGGAGGGAAGAGGGATATGGGCAAAGAGGTGTGGTGGAGGAACAGAAAAAGGTGTGAGTCTTGTAGGTAAAAATGTCTTTTTAAATAAGTAAATGCATGAATAATGCTCTGGAGCTTCCACTCAGCTTTTGTCATGAGGTATACAAATATATTTCTCTTGATGCCTGGCTGATTTTTTATTACCATGATGTCTGCTGAATTTTCATGATGATTTGCAGATTGTTGAGACACCAGAGCTCATTCTGTCTGGCCAGCTCATATTTCATTAGTTTCCAATCATCAGTGGGTTTTTCAGCTAGTAAAATCTTTTGTGTCCATCCTAATCCTGTTCCACTCCATGATGATGTCACTTTTTTAAAGGCAGTTGTAGTATGAGCCCAAACTTTTAAAATGTCGTCATCCTTGTTTGCAAAAAAAATAAAAGCCTGTGTTATCGAAGTCACGTTTTAGGGCAGTTACCAGGGGTGCAGCAGATTGGAGACATAAAAGGAGCAGGTGCTTCAGCAACTGTAAAGGGCAGAGTCCTGGACCTGCCACCACGATGAATCTCTGCTAATGTCCAATGCTGATAAAGAGAACGTCCTCTTAGCTCTCACCCAAATCTGTTTTTGGGGGGGGGGTTGTTTTCCAATCCCTCCCCTCCCCGTTGGAGGGTGAGCTTCCCAAGAAAGGGACCTTTCCTTGTTCTGTTCTTCTTCCTCTCTGTACCAGCCTTGCTGTAGCCCTCGCTCAGGGTACACAGACACCCACACACCTTTACTACACTGTCTGTCTTCAGCCTTTCCCGCGACCCCCCTCTCCTCCAACACAAAGGCACCGAGGCAGAAATGTTTATTGAAGGGCTGGGTCCCTTTGGTTTAAGACTTTGTTGTTGGAGATTAAATTGCAAAACCCCTACCTTTTCAATGCTGAGTAGCTCTCAGGGGGAGCACTCGATACTTCAAAAGATTTTAGCCCGCCAGGCAAATATCATTTATTAATTAATTTCATTTCCCATAAGACAACCAGGCCTATTACACTGGATTGGTGGGATTCCAGATAAAAGCAAAGGAATCTGAGCAGCCTAAAAGGAATGAACAGTTTCTATTAGACTTCTTTGAAATGCAGAAAACAACTCTCAGACCTCCTTAGAGTCTCCAAGGTAGTGGGGAGGCTGGCAATGAATGTCCTGCTCCCCACTGGAACCCCGTGCTTCTTACCTTTTGTGTTAGAGTGCCAGAGTGTCTGGCAGTTTGGAGAACTCTTGTTTGATGGTAAGGGAGCAGAGAAAGGGAAGCAAGTGGGGCTTCTGGGAATAAGGGAGAGAGGAGGAGATGGATGGTGAGTCAGAGAAGGACAAATTGAGGAGCAGAGAGCCATTCTGGGTGTTTTCCTGCCTTCTTGTTGATGTGTGTAGTTTTTAGTTAATTAACTAAATTAGAGAGACTGCTTTGGTTCAGTTGAGAAAGCAGTATGGAAAGACAGAAAGATCATGAATTCTGAAGAGAGGCACATTCGGATTTTAATTTCTGCTTCTTCTCATTACCTGAATAACTTCTGAATTTTTAAAAAAAGATTTATTTGTTTATGCATACAGAACTGGGGTACAAGCCAGAGATGCAGGGGTGGTGAGAGGATTCGCCAGAGATAGATCGGGGAGCAGAACAGGCAGATTGCCGGAGGCACACTGCTGAGGGGAGCAGCAGGCAGGTCAGGAGAGGTCTGCCGTGCCATGTGGGTCACCTCAGGGGCTGGGGATCGAACTTTCCCTGAAGCAGCTGCAGCCAGCTTGCAGTGCTGCATCCTTACCCATTGTGCCACCGGGGAGGGCCCAACTTCTGAATCTTACGGAATAAAATAGCTACTTGATAGGATTGTTTCATCCAAGATAGGATATGTAAAAATACCTCCTGATAGTAATTGGCATTGAATAAGGGTGAATTAAGTTTTGAGAACTGTCATTTTGCATTTTGATTTAAGAGGCCTCAGAACAAGACTACTTACATAATGCAGACAAAGAATTTCAAGTCTCTGATCTCTACAAAGACACGATTAAAATACACTAGAAAGACAAATATTTTCAGCAGATGATTACAGTCAAGCCACAGATCATGACTTGAATGTACTGATTCTCAGGGAAGATTGCTGGCTACCAAGTTGTTGCTGGAATTTTTCATTTGGCTTTTTGATAGCATCTTGGCCAGTTTTATTTATTTATTTTTAAGATTTACTTATGCACACAAGAACTGGGGTAGAGGCCAGGGGTGTGGGCTGGAGGGTGGTGGTGAGAGGAGTCACTAGAGACAGAGTGGGGAACAGAACAGCTGGATCTCTTGAAACACACTGCTGGGGGGAGCAGCAGGGAGAACAGGAGAGGTCTGCTGTGCCATGTGGGTCAGCTCCTTGGCCAGAAATCTAACTTGTGCTGCAGTGGCTGTGGACAGCTTCATTGTCCTGGGCTTTACCCTGTTGTGCCACCAGGGAGGGCTCCCATCTTGGCCAGTTTTAAATGAACACAAATCACCAAGTGGCTTTATTTCAAGTTAGATCTTAAAAGAGAAATTTTTTTGGATTTCTGTTTTTGAAATTTTCATTTCAAGACCTGCTGGTTTGGAGGCTTAATATTTTAAGGGTCTAGTTTTAGTTTCCACAGGCGTCTTCCTGATTTTCTTTCTTTTCCTTCCTTCAGGCCCTAGCTCCAGGCCCTATCCAAACTAATGGTCCGAAGGCGCCATTGTCTTCAGAGGAGGTAGGGAGGATTTGGGTGGGGGCGGGGTTGATTGACTCCAGCACTACTCTAAGCCCCTGGGGAGCTAGAGTCTTGGGGTTTGTTTTCTTTTTTAAAAGCATCTCTAAGCAGTGATGACATTCACTTGAAATAGTTATTTTTGCTAGCTTCCTAAGCCCTTTAACTTCGAAGAGTGCAAAATAAAGCCCAAGAACCTTAGCTCTATTGTAATCAGTTTGAAAAATCAAAGAGTTAGGTTGGTATGAGCTTTCCCGCCCCACCTGGAGGGCCTGTCCCCTCAGAAACTGGTTTGGTCTGGTGGGGGTTGACAGGATATTTTTCTTTCTCCAGAACCTAGAGTTGAAAATGAGTGAATATTTGGCAGGCCACCCTAAAATTACACACATGCTCTACATACTTATGTAACAGAACAGCAAGACCATCACAAGGGCCTGTAGGGTCTCTTGAGGCCTTCCTTCCTACTTCTCCCTTGGGTTAGAGTCAGCTCAGATGACCCCTTCCCAGGGAGCCTTGCCTGTCACTTCACCCTCCCTCAGTCTGGGTCAGTGTAGGCTTAAAACTTCCTTCCTCCACTGCCTTAAACTCTGTGCAGCATTGTCTTGGACTGATTACAAGTTAATTGCCTGGCTAGAGCATATATTTCTTTACCCTCATCTATAAAAACTAACCCAAGATCTGCTATGTGCTATGTAATAGGTTTTCCGTACTAGTTTGTTCGTGGAAGGAAGGGAGGAAGAAATTCCATCTGTCCCCCTTCTCACCCCTACCCCCAGGACATGTCCCACTTCAGTTACCAGCAGGGAGCAGCAGTACAGGTTCTGAGCACTTTTTTTAAAAAAAAAAAAAAAAAGAAGAAGAAGAAGAAGAAAGAAAGAAAGAAGGAAAAAAAGTGCATGTTGCGCTCCCAGGTCATTAAGCTTTCTCCATGCACTAGGTCTCAGTGAGCTGGCTTCTAATAATCGGCAACGGCAGAGAACCACATAAAAAGAGACGATGAGGGCAGTGCACTGGACTATGGTGATGGCACACAGGTGATTTGGTGATGGGAAGCCCACGGGGATTACAGCTGAGATGGAAAAAGATGTAAAAATAAACTATTACAAATACATGTATATTTGAAAAGGAGACGAAATGGCAATGCACCAAGCATCAACACTTGAGGTTTCTCCCATTCAAATCCAAGTGTTTCTTTCTGGCAGAACCTGGGTCCATGTAGGAAAAGTCGAGAGTTCTAACCCTGTTCTGGATGCTGGTGTGACTCAAGAGCTTTCCTTTAGTTCACCTTGTTCATCTGTGAAATGTATTTTAAAATGTGCCTTGTGATCCATTAGAAGGCTGTGTCATCAATTTAAAGCATCACAACTGGCATTTTAAAATTGAAATCCCAGTGCCGGGATTTAAAAATAGAGAAAAGTAGAATTAAAAATAGGAAGAAAAAAAAAAAACAACCAGGCCCCAAAGGGAGTCTTAATGCTGGGCCCCCACCCAGATTTAATGCCTATTCTCATTGCAGTTTCACCATAAACTGATCCTAACCCAGTCAATCTGCTAAAGAAGCAAGACACCCCTCTCTCCCCAGGGAAGGTAACTTCACCTGAAACAATCTTTTCTTTCTTAAATGTGTGCCCCACATATATGTCTATAAATATCCCTCAGTTTTGTAACCCTTTGCAGTGTCTAGAGGAGCTGCAATCTGATTCATGCATCACCTAATGAAAACAATTAGATCTCTAAATTTGTGAATTTTGTTTTCTTAATAATAGTTTATAAGGTAAGGTAAGGACTGTTTCATTACACTGGGCTTTGGTCATACTTTACATATGCAGGTACCAGATCAAAGTGTGAAATGTACTCCTTACTGGGATGTCATAGTGAAAAAAATTGAAAACCCTGGACTGGGTGATAAATAAGATCTCTCTAATGGAGATCTCTGTGGATTTGGCAGGGCTCCTGTATACCTAACTCAAATACAGGGAAAAGAAGGACTAGCAAGAATTTAAGAGAGATTAATTAGAATGCTTGCTGGTGAGAAAACCACAGAACAGAAGGAACCCAAGACTGCAGAAGACCACTAAAAACACACAGAACAGAAATTCCTTGCGAACAACTGTTTTCATGGAGCTGTTCCCTCAGTGACACCTAGCTCCTTTTCGTCTCTGGCTCCATGTCACACCTCTTCCTGCCTTCTTGTGTTTGACTCCCCCTCCCACGTCATCCCAGGGCACCCACATGTGTGTGCAGGCACTGGGCCGCATGACTGCTGGGTGTCTGGCTCACACCTCTTTGTGTTCATCTTTGTGGTCTGCCACAGTGCTACACACTCTCTCAGAGTCAGTAAGTGTGTTTCAGAGAAAGAGAGGGAGTGTGTGTGTGTGTGTGTGTGTGTGTGTGTGTGTGTGTGTGTGTAGGACAAAGGGGTCACAACTCTCTGCAGGAGCCCAGATCTTCCCAAGGAGGCAGATGAGTGTAAATTGAGGACATGTTTTAACTCCTAGTATCACTTCACTTTACATTAAAGGAAGGGATCAGACTTGGTTATTTTTACTCAAAAAAAAGATTATAAGTTTTAAAAGTTTGAGGATCATAGAAAGAGTCAGGAGTGCCTCCCATCATGCACCCCCCCTCCACCAACTCTTTTTCAGGGTGACAGAGCCAACTAATGTGGGCAAATCTTACCAGAAAGTCATAGACATGGGTCTTTGAAACCCTGCTACAGGGGTGAAGGTTTAGGGCCTCAATGTAAAGGCATCTGACTTTGCGACTCTCTTCTAATTTCAGACTCTGTAAGATTTTTAGGAATTGGGTCCTCCGTGGTGGTACAACCGGTTAAAGCGCAGCACTGTGAAGCTGCTGCAGCCACAAGTTCAATCCTCAGCTGGGGAGTGACCCACAGGGTGCAGCAGCCATCTCCTGACCGGCTGCCCGCTGCTCCCCTCAGCAGTGTACTTCAATAGATCGGCCTGTTCTGCTCCCCACTCTGTCTCTGGTGAATCTTCCCCACACCTCTGGCCTGTACCCCAGTTCTGTATCCATAAATAAATAAATCTTTAAAAAAAGATTTTTAGGAATTAATGAAGAGACGAGAAGGATAGAAGGTTGTTGCAGATGCTTACTTTATTCTGTGAACCTTAGTACAGGAGTCCTTCACATGCAAGTCTAGGCCTCCTGCCCTGCCTATAGATACTTCTGGAAAGGGCTTAGTGAAAAGCCATCAAAGAACGGATTGTTTTCATGCCTGTGTCATGAAAAGACATTAAAGACCAACTTTCTGGAATCTTCCCCACTCTCTGAGTCACTGCCTGGAAATTGGAGGTGGGTGGGCTCTGCGTCCCCATTCCTGGGCTCCAGTCCTTGGCGACTGAGCAACCAAATGAACTTTGACATCAGGTTTGGCCTCTCTGTTTCTCATCCTTTCTTTCTGTTTAGTGAGCATTCAGGTAAATGCTAATGGCTCCCAATGTCAAGCACTTTTTTGAGGTAACTTTGCCCAAATTAAAAAGTTGTGTATTTATAGAAATATAGGCGATAGTAAACATTGTTCTTGTTTTATAAATCAGAAAACTCAGGCACAGAGAGGTCGGGTTCCTGGTCCAAAGGTACCCAGGTATCTGTGTGTAGTATGGAGGCAGGAAACTACCAGAAGCTGGGCAAGGCCAAGTTAAGTTGGTTGTTGGGGGCTGGGGATAAGTGACTGAGGATGAAGCTGAGCACGGCCTGGCTCTTCCCTAGAAGAGTCTTGGGGTAGTACTGAGTCGCTGCCCTGAAAGCGTCCCCTCTTCCCGAGAGCTGTCTCCTGTGATCATTTTGTTCCTGTATATTTCCAAAAGACTTTTTAAAAGCTATGTGTTCTCTTGTGAATTTTACTTATTTTTTTATGGATTTATTTATTCATGCATACAGAACTGGGGCACAGGCCAGAGGTAGGGGTTGTTGTGTGTGTGAGAGGATTCACCAGAGACACAGACCAGGCATCGACTGAAATACACTGCTGAAGAGCAGTGGGGGAGACAGATCTGCTGCGCCATGTGGGTCAGCACCCCGGAGGCATCGAAATCGTGCTGAAGCAGCTGTGGCTAGCTTCATATTGCTGTGCTTTAACCTGCTGTGTCACCAGGGAGGGCCCCTCTGGTATATTTTAAGTTGTTATCGAAAAGTTTTCAGAATAAACTTAAAGAGTTGTGAAATATAATTATTGTTCTTTGGTAAATACCAATACAGTAAAAAGTCAGTTTTAAATGAATCCCAAGGAATATAAATATCATAGTAATTGGATATTACCTTCATCAATTTAGTTAATTCATGACTAAACTCTCTAAACTAGACAGTCTTTTTCCCTTTGAAAAAAATAAATGGATTGCACTCCCATGTAATCTTGTCTTAAATAATTCAGTTTGGAGGAAAGGAGGGAAGGAGGGAGAAGCGTAGGGAGGAAGGTCCCAAATGGAGTCATTCATAATAAGCCCCGTTACGACTTGCTACCTAACCAAATTGCAATTTCAGCTTCTCCCAGAAATGGAACTTTGATCAATCTAGGTTTTATTGGTCAGCATTAAGTGAGGTTATCTGACTAATGAGATCCCCCCACCCATCCTAATGGAAGGTGGCTTTGTCTGAAATGATCTTTATTTTCTTTTGTTATAACTTTGTTTCACCCTCTTTCTAGCTATAAAACCTTTTATTTTGTACAAATTTCTTTGCACACATTTCTTCTCACTAGATGGAATGCTGCCTGATTCATGAATCATTTGATAAACATAATTTTACCTCTAAAATTGACTTGATTGGATTTTTGTTATTTATTAGAAGCATTTTACATGCTTTTCTGCAACAACAAAAAAACAATAATGGACAAATCATTCAGACAGAATATCAGTAAGTGAACAAGGGCCTTAAATGACACATTAGACAGATGGATTAATGGGTCCATACAGAACATAGCATCCCCAAACAACAGAATACATATCTTTTCAAATGCCATAGAACATTCTCAAGGATGGACC